GCCCCGACAAAAACGGACCATCGGCGACAGTTACCCTGCCGAAAATGTTGGAGTCGAAGAATTTGTGGCAGCTGGTGGTGTTTCTCCTGATTCAGCGGTCTACCCGACGAAGGTGTAGCAGCGAAGACGGAGTTCCCGAAGCTGAGGAGTTTTAAACGCGATAGGCACGGTGGGCAGCGAAGCGGCTGGCTGAGAGTTTGATATGATGAACTCGCTCCGACTCTATAGCGTTCGCGCCTTCATCGAACGCCAGAAAAATCGCGGGCAACACGGAGAATACCTCATCCGACAAAAGCGGACGCTGGGTGAACGGCGGCAAGCGAAATTGTCGGGGGGTGAAGACAAAAAATTGGTGGGAAAGTTGTGGGTGCCTCTCCAAGCTTCTTGAGTGATAGGTGAGCTTGTACACCACTCCACCGTGAATTTCGGGGTCTACTCGGTGGGCGCCGAAAGGGTCGGAAATCTCACACATGGAGGCACGGCGAGGGGTGTATTGCCAAGGATACATGGGATTTGCTAAATAATTTCGACGGGTACGAAGATGGGTGAACGTCGGAGTACCAGGGTCAACGGTGGAAACGTCGGGGCTACAAGGCAGAAAATACTTCGGGGCTTGTTGCCGCAACCATGTTTTTTCGGGCGAAATTTCTGCGGTGGGAGACGGGTGAACGTCTGCTCGCCAATTGTTTAAGCGATTTACGGTGTACTTAAGGAGATTCCTGGGGGAGTTCAACGGCGAGATCTGCGCCGTTGATGCGGGCTAGGTTCCGTGAGATTCGGTCCCGGTAGACCCACAGTTCTGGGTTCCACACGGAAGAACGCCTCCCTTTTGGTGGGTTGCTAGTGTGGTTAACCACAGGCGATGAGAGTGGCGACGGGTGGGCACGCTAGAAACACCGGTTCTTTCGGAGGACAACCTGCGGGCGACCAAGATTTTACGTGGTGTATTTTCAGTTCCGACATTTACGGGTGCCACGAGCAGTTCCGAAAATAGTCTTAACGGAGTCGGCGGGGTCGTCGACAGTATCCGTGCCAACAGCGGAGTTTGCAGCGGTGCTTGATTAAGCGCGCAAGGCACTCGTCGTTAAAGGTGTAGCCCTACAAATCGGAAGCTGCTCGGGAGCAGGGCTCACGTTATCAGGGCAATTACCCTGTTTTGACTTAAATTATAGGGCTTTTTCCAGGCCAACCCTTATTTTCACAAGGTTTGTTTTAAGCCGGCCCGTAAAAATGAAGGGTGATTTCTTGAGCAACTCGGATCCTCCGGGTTGTTTCTGAGGGGACCCGTATAGTTTTAGCAACACTTGTTCTCCTCGACCTGCTTTGCATTCCCCTCCTCTCCCCGTGTACTATGTGTGGGCCAATTTTAGTGGAATTTCAAGTGTCTGATCTGATTGCCCCGTCCTACGTAGGAATGGGTTAGACTTGACTCTTCCAGAGATTTTCTTCTAAGTCAGCAAAAAGTATCTCCCCTTAGCCTCTAAAGCCGCTCCTACATCCCCAACCTCCCCAGCCCTAGTGCCGTGAGTTTCTCGATCTCTCCCCCATCCCGCGAAAGTTTGGTAATGCAGGTTTTCAGGCCTTTTCTGACTAGAACCCGGATTCGTCAAGGCTTATTTTCCCCTGGCTCGGACTTACAGGGTATTTTTCACAGGGGCCCGGATCGTCCGGGCTAGCAAAATTCTGTCAAACATTGTATGTGTTATATTTGTGTAGGCTATTGTGGATTAGCCTCTAGGGGGTACAGAACTAGGTTTGTCATACTTGTACTCACATTCTGCTGCTAGTCAATCATTCCTGTTTCGTTCTTTCTGACATGGTTTCAGAGCAGGTCCTCCGCTAGGACCGATTTTTTTTAAGGGCCCACCACACTGACTGCCTACTAGCGCCCTCGTGCGCCCTACTGTCGGAGCGCCCTCGAGCGCCTCCCCCCAGCGCCCTCGTGCGCCCCTCCTTAGCGGCCCCTTACGGCCCCGTCGACCCCTTAGCGGCCCCTCAAGGCCCCGTCGACCCCGCGCGCCGCCCCTTAACGGCCCCTTACGGCCCATCGACCCCGCGCACCGCCCCTTAGCGGCCCCTTACGGCCCCGTCGACCCCGCGCGCCGCCCCTTAGCGGCCCCTTACGGCCCCGTCGACCCCGCGCACGGCCCCTTATCGGCCCCCTACGGCCCCGTCGACCCCGCGCGCCGCCCCTTAGCGGCCCCGTCGGCCCCGCGTTCGCCCCTTAGAGGCCCCGTCGGCCCCGCGTCCGCCCCCCTTAGAGGCCCCGTCGGCCCCGCCAGAACCGAGCCGCCCCACGCGCGACCGCCACGGCCCCGCTAGAACCGAGCCGCCCGAACCGAGCCGCCCGAACCGAGCCGCCCAGCCCGAGCCGAGCCGCGCCGCCCTCCCCGTACTGAGCAGCCCTCTCTGGACCGAGCCGCCCTACCTGAGTCGCGCTGCCTGCTGCTACTACTGCTACTGTTACTGCTGTTACTACTGCTCTTACTGCAACTATGGCTAGCCCTGCTGTACTCGCTTTTGATACTGAGGGCCGCCCACTGAAGTTTGACACCTGGCTAGATGACTTGCACCTGTTCCTCCAGCTCACTGCCAAGGAGAACATCTCGCCGTACGATCACGCACTAGGCCTCGCTGCTGCCCCTGCTGTTACTGCTGACAGTACTGCCCGCTCCCAGTGGCAGACTCGTGACGCCCACGCTCGCTTTGCTATTCGCAACTCCCTGCCGGTAGATGAGCGCGAGCACTTTGGCCAGCACAAAACTGCGCAGGCACTGTACACTGCTGTAGCTGCACGCTACTCCTCACCTGCCTCTGCTGCGCTAGGCCGTCTCTCGCTCCCCTACCTGTTCCCAGACCTGTCCGCTTTCGCCACAGTAGCTGACCTCACCACGCACCTCCGCACTAGTGAGGCTCGCTTCCGTGCCGCTATGCCCGCTGAGTTTCTTGCCACCCACCCCCCCCCGCTCTGGCTCACTCTCTACCACCTTGTCACCCGTCTCCCTGACTCTCTTCGTGCGGTCAGGGACCACTTCCTCGCTCGCTGCCCCACTGAGCTCACCGTTGACCTGCTCGAGAAGGAACTGCTTGCAGCCGAGACTAGCATAGTCGCTGTAGCTGCCTCTCGTGGCGACCCTCGCACCCCGTTCTTCGAGGGGTGTTCCCCTTCCCCCCTGCTCCCCTCTGTCGCCTCTGCTGCTGCTGTCGACCTCGTTGGTACTGAGCAGGTCGGGACTGCGTCCGCTCCGAGCTGGCGCCGCAGCGGCAAGGGCAAAGGGGGCAAGGGAGGTGGAGGAGACGGCGGGGGAGGCGGTGGTGGGGGCGGTGGAGGCGGTGGGGGTGGTGGCGGGGCAGGAGGGGCTAGTGGCAGCGGTGGGGGTGGTGGCGGCAGCAGCGGAGGAGGTGGCCGGGGTGGGAGCGGTGGTGGGGGCGGCGGTGGACGAGGCGGCGGCAGGGGCGGTGGTGATCGAAGTGGTGGCGGCGGAGGTGGTGGTCGTGGTGGCGCTGGCGGACAGCAGACTCTCTCTCCCCAGGAGCTTCGTGAGTGGTACTCTCAGCACGGGGGGGGGGGTGGCCTTAGCTGCACGTACGTCATCCGCTATAGTGAGCGCACTGGCCAGACGTGTGGGAGGGCGCACACCACGCAGCGCTGCTTCTCCCGCCTCGACGACGCTTGGCGCACTCAGTTCCCTACTGCCACTGAGCTGCCCCGCTGGTGGGATCTGATGAAGAAGAACATTGATGTCTTTGCTCTTAACTTTGATGCTATTCTCACTGCCATGTATGTGTTGTCTACTAGTGGAGAGGGTGATCAGTACCTGCGTGTTCCACCCGACCCGGGCATTCGCACCAGTGAGGCTGCCGCTCTAGGTGCTTGCGTGTCTGCTGCCCCAGGTGCTGGTGAGGCTGCTGCGCTAGGTGCTTCCGTGTCTGCTGCCCCAGGTGCTGGTGAGGCTGCTGCTCCAGGTGCTAGTGAGTCTGCGCCCCCTGGTACTGAGTCCACTGAGGCACTGCACACCTTCACTCTAGACTCAGGCGCTTCTCGCTGTTTCTTTCGTGACCGCACTACCCTTGAGCAGCTTGCTCGGCCAGTTGCTGTCTCCCTTGCTGACCCCTCTGGGGGTCCGGTCATTGCGACCTCCTCCACTGTCCTGCCTTGTCCTGCGGTTCCGTCGGGGACTCTGTCAGGTCTCCACCTCCCCTCGTTCTCTACGAACTTGGTGGCGGGTTGTGCGCTCCAAGACGGGGGTGTCCACCAGTTCACCCCTGCCTACGAGCGCGTGACACACTGCACGTGTGCTCGGACGGGCCGTCACCTCGCTACCTTCACTAGGCAGCCGGGGTCGGACCTGTACACACTGACCACTGAGTCCCCTTAGGTAGCTGCGTCTGCGTCTGCATCAGGTCAGTTGTCTGCCCCCTGCTCGTGTCGCTCTCTGGTGCACGAGACTGTCCTCTGGCACCACCGTCTTGGTCACCCGTCTGTGCAGCGCCTTCGTGCCATGCACAAACGGTACCTTGTCTCTGGTCTTCCCCGGGTACTCCCTCCCCTACCACCCTCGCCTGCTCCTCCCTGTCTTCCTTGTGTCGAGGGGCGGCAGCGCGCCGCTCCCCACTCCTCCTCGTTTCCCCCGACGACTGCTCCCTTGCAGACGCTCCACATGGACGTGTGGGGCCCAGCCCGCGTCCGTGGACAGGGTCAGGAGCGGTACTTCCTGATCGTTGTTGACGACTTCTCGCGCTACACCACGGTCTTCCCCTTGCGCACCAAGGGTGAGGTCCCTGCTGTTTTGATCCCTTGGATCCGTGCTTCTCGTCTCCAGCTCAGCGAGCGGTTCCACTCGGACTTCCCTGTCTTGCGTCTGCACTCTGACAGAGGTGGTGAGTTCTCCTCCGACCTCTTGGCAGCCTACTGTGCGGAGCACGGCATTGAGCAGTCGTTCACGCTTCCGGCCTCTCCACAGCAGAATGGGGTTGCTGAGCGCCGCATTGGCTTGGTCATGGAGGTCGCTCGTACCTCCTTGATCCATGCGGCTGCCCCCCACTTTCTGTGGCCGTTTGCAGTCCGCTACGCTGCGCATCAGCTCAACCTCTGGCCCCGTGTCTCCTTGCCGGAGACCTCGCCCACACTGCTGTGGACGGGGGAGGTTGGCGATGCGTCGCGTTTTCGGGTCTGGGGATCTCGAGCTTTTGTCCGCGATACGTCTGCGGACAAGCTCTCCTCCCGCGCTGTTCCTTGTGTCTTCCTTGGCTTTGTCCCGGACGCGTCTGGTTGGCAGTTTTACCACGCCACCTCGCGCCGTGTCCTGCCCTCTCAGGACGTCACTTTTGACGAGTCGGTGCCCTACTACCGCCTCTTCCCCTACCGCACTGCCCCGCTCCCTCCCCCGCCTCTCTTCCTCGCGCCAGGTGCTGCTGTGGTAGACCCCCTCCCCCCTCAGGGTGCCGCTCCCTCAGGTGTGTCCCAGGTAGACCCGGTTGACCCTGTCGAGGTAGCTGTCGACTCTCGTCCTGCTAGGGGTGCTGAGCCTGAGCGTGCGGAGCCTGGGGGTGCGGAGCCTGGGGGTGCGGAGCCTGGGGTTGCGGAGTCTGGGGGTGCTGAGTCTGGGGGTGCTGAGACTGGGGGTGCTGAGACTGGGGGTGCTGAGTCTGGGGGTGCTGAGTCTGGGGGTGCTGAGCCTGGGAGTGCTACACCTGGAGGAGCTCTCTCCTCCGAGCAGCTGCGTGAGTGGTACTTACAGTACTGCAGCCTCAGGAGAGGTGCTTCTGGCGCTCGGAGCGCTGCTGGAGCTGGTGCTAGTGCTTCCCCTCCTAGGCGGGCGCTGCCCTCTCCCCTGCAGCTTCGCGAGTGGTACGCTCGGCACTGCAGTCTCCGGAGTGGCGCTCCTCGCGTCGCGGACCCCGGTGCTGCTGCTGGAGCTGCTGGGGGTGCTGCTGGTCCTGGTGCTGCTGGTGCTGGTGCTGCTGGAGCTGCTGGAGGTACTGCTGGTGCTGCTGGGGCTGCTGGAGGTGTTGCTGGTGCTGGTGCTGCTGGAGCTGCAGGAGGTGCTGTTGCTGCTGCTGGTGCTGCTGGAGCTGCTGGAGGTGTTGCTGGTGCTGGTGCTGCTGGAGCTGCAGGAGGTGCTGCTGCTGCTGGCGGTGCTGCTGGCGCTGCTGGAGGTGCTGCTGGTACTGGTGTTACTGGTGCTGGTGCTGCTGGAGCCGCCGGTCTTGGAGGTGCTCGTACTGGAGGTACTGGAGCTGCTGGGACTGGAGCTGCTGAGGGGGTTGGCGCTGGAGGTGCTGAGCGGCCGCGGCCGTACTATGTTCCGCTCCTTCAGCAGGTTCTTGGTCTCCCGCCCTCTCCTGGTCCTACTCCTCCTCCCCTACTGAGTCCACCACCTGTCCCGTCGCAGTCACAGTTACAGCCTGCCTCTCCACTGCCTGGTCCTTCTCCTTACACTGCGCCGACAGGTAGCTTTACGGAGCGTCGTGAGCCTGAGTCTCGTCCTCCGTCGCCTGAGTCCAGTCCTGCGTCTTCTGAGTCTCGTCCAGAGTCGCCTGTCCGCACTGCCCGCACTGGTCGTCGTGCTCCGCGTCAGCGTCCTCCTCCTGTCCTTGGCACTCACTATATGACCCTGCGTCCTTCCACTGCTCCACAGCGCGTCCCTCTGCCGTCTCCTCCTGCGTCCTCTCTTCCTGACGTTGCCGACCCGCCGTCAGACCTTACTCGTGCTGCCAGTCCTACTGTCGCGCGTCTCCTTGCCACTGTTGTCACTGACCCTACCTTTGAGTCCTCTGCTGCGTCTGCTCTTGTCGCTGAGCTTGTTGACTTTGCTGCCGCCTGTCGTCTAGACTACGCCGCTAGCCTTGTCGCTGAGTCTGAGTCTGTCTGTCCTCCGTCCGTCGGGGTGAGTGTGCTCTTGGCACGGACGTCCTTGAGGACAGACAGGAGGAGTTTGAGTGCTTTGCGGCTGCTTTACCTCATCTCGTGTCCATGCTGATTGCCCCTGAGGGAGACCCGGATGCACCAGACATCCCGACCCCACGCTCCTATGTAGAGGCGATGGAGGGTGAGTACTCCTCTCAGTGGCAGACAGCCATGGACGCAGAGATGGCTTCCTGGAAGTCCACAGGCACCTACGTCGACGAGGTTCCCCCACCTGGGGCGAACATTGTCAGTGGCATGTGGATTTTCAGGGTGAAGCGGCCGCCGGGTTCTCCGCCTGCCTTCAAGGCGCATTACGTTGCACGACACCAAAGATGACCACTCTTCGGGTTCTGCTGCACGTCGCCGCTCAGCGTGACTACGAGCTCCACTGCCTTGACTTCAGCACTGCGTTCCTACAGGGCACCCTGCACGAGGAGATCTGGCTGCGCCGCCCACCTGGCTTCACTGGGACGTTCCCTCCTGGTACCCAGTGGAGCCTCCGGCGGCCGGTCTACGGTCTCCGCCAGGCACCCCGTGAGTGGCACGACACACTGAGGACTACTCTTGCTGCTCTTGGGTTTGCTCCTTCTACTGCTGACCCGTCGCTGTTTCTACGCACCGACACCACTCTGCCGCCGTTCTACGTTCTCGTGTACGTAGACGACTTGGTCTTTGCTACTGCTGACACTGAGGCACTCGCCCACGTGAAGTCGGAGCTGCAGAAGAGACACATGTGCACAGACCTGGGTGAGCTGACAAGCTATCTTGGCTTGCGGATCACCCGGGACAGAGCACAGCGCACCATCACCTTGACTCAGTCACATATGGTGCAGCAGGTCCTTCAGCGCTTCCGCTTCACGTACTCCTCGCCTCAGCCCACTCCTCTGCCTACCGGTCACTCGCTCTCAGCTCTGCCTTCGGATGAGTCTGTAGAGCCGAGTGGCCCGTATCCAGAGCTTGTGGGCTGCCTCATGTACCTGATGACCTGCACTCGACCTGACCTAGCCTACCCTCTTAGCATCCCAGCACGCTATGTCGCTCCTGGCCGTCACCGGAAGGAGCACATGGATGCCGCTAAGAGGGTGTTGCGCTACTTGTGCAGTACGTCGGGCATGGGGCTTGTGCTTGGAGGACGGCGCGACGTTGTCCTCACTGGACACTCAGACGCTTCTTGGGCTGACGACCAGGCTACGCAGCGGTCGTCTCAGGGTTACACCTTCAGCCTTGGCTCTGGCTCTGTTTCCTGGCGTTCTACACGCTCTTCCTCTGTTCTCAGCTCCAGTTGTGAGGCTGAGATCTACGCCACAGCCATGGCTGCCCAGGAGCTACGCTGGCTCACCTACCTGCTGACCGACCTCGGAGAGCGGCCTAGTTCTCCTCCAGTGCTGTACGTCGACAACAAGGCAGCCATTGCCTTGTGTGAGGAGCACAGACTGGAGCACAGAACGAAGCACATCGCTCTGCGCTACTTCCTTGCTCGAGAGCTGCAGCAGCGTGGTCAGCTTCGTCTGCGTTACGTGGCCACTCGGGCCAACACTGCTGATGTCTTCACCAAGGCGCTTCAGCCTTGTGACCATCAGCGTTTCTGTACTGTTCTAGGCCTTGTGCCTACTCTCCCTCACTTGCTCACTTCTTGACTCTGCTTGTACTGTGATCTCTATATATATACCTGCATGCTTTCACTTGCTAGGTTGTGATCACTGTACCTCTTGTTCTATTATCAAACTGCATGTGAACTGGTCTTGTGACCACTTGCTTGTGCTCGGAATTTGTGTGGTATCCTTGAGATCCACCCTGAGCTTTGCTTTGACTGGTCCTGTGACCCCTTGTTCTCCCCCACTTAGCCTATGGGGGTGTGTCAAACATTGTATGTGTTATATTTGTGTAGGCTATTGTGGGTTAGCCTCTAGGGGGTACAGAACTAGGTTTGTCATACTTGTACTCACATTCTGCTGCTAGTCAATCATTCCTGTTTCGTTCTTTCTGACAAAGTCCTAGCAATAGCCCTGCTCGGGAGTACCAGCGACAACACCAGGAGAAGTTTTTGCAGCACGTGGGGGGGAGAAGGCGACAGCTATTTTCGCCTCTGCCCGGTAGTCCTTGGCGAGTCACGACAACGTCGCCGAGGTAGCTGACGTCATCGGCAATTGAGGTTCGAAGTTGAAAAAATATTTCGGTGATCAGGGGGGAGAACAGCAGCTATTTTTCACCTCTGCCCGGTAATTTTCGGAGAAAAGCGACAAAAACCTCGGCGAGTCCGGGCAAGACTGCTGGGGGTACTGACAGCTCGAGAAGCTACAGCGAGGATTTTCGCCACAGCAAAAAGACAAATGGCAGAAATTCAGGGTAGCAGATGCTGACAACTGGAGATGCTACAGCAACTCGGGTGATTTGATGCTGCAGCAGCAGTCGCGACTATAAGACAAGAAGAAAGTTGTCTTCATAAAAAAACATATTTCGAAGGATCGCACCCGAGTCCCGGCGCAAAACGATAATTTCTTGGGACATCAACACGGTCTACCCTGGGCGTTGTTTACGCGCCACACCAGTGATATTTCGCCACCGACTACAACTTTCGACAGGCAGCTGCTAAAACTCAGCAAGGAGTTCCTTACACTTGGTATTCTTGACTAACCCCGGCATGCAGGAAGGTTGGAGATTCTACCCGCGCAGCTGTACATTTTTGATAGGCAACCCTATCGTCAAAGGGGGGAGAGAAAGTGCTCTTGCACTGTACTTGTCAGTTTTTTCTGACACATCCAGCACGACGGTTTTTTCTGACACATCCAGCACGACGGACGCTCGCGATTAAACCATCGACATCGACGGGTCCTGATTCATCGGCTTTTGACAACGCGTCAAAATTCCCGCCACTACTGCGTTCATCCTGACCGTCCGACACAGATCCGTCACATCGACGGTCTTCATTCATCGGCGGATTTTCAAATCGACCTTCGTCTTCGACCGCCCGATCGACATCGGCAGTATCAACGGCTGACATTCCAACTCTTTGAACTTCGCCTGGTCAACGCGCTCAGCCACGCGTCAACTCAAAAGTCAATGTGCTTCTGCACCGTTAGATCGGTTTTCAACCAAGATCTGCAGTTTTCACGCTACTGCAAGACTCGTCCACGGATAAGGGGACCTTATCTAGAAGGTGGGAGAGTGTAAGGAATTTACCAGTTCCTTACTGTAGCCTTGCCTTAACGGGTACAGCCCGAGCACTTCGCGTCAGGTGGCTCGGCCTACACTTCCGCACCGAACCAATGCCGAGTCGCCCCGCACCAATCGTGACACATCCAAACCATCCACGTCCCGAGGTCCTCGCCTAGCACGGTTTCGACCCTATAAATGCTCGTTCTTTTATCATATTCGGCATTCTATACTTCACATCCTTTTTATAAAGTATTCCGCGCACTCTGTTTAGTACAACTCATAACATAGAACGATAGAATGTTACCCAAATTCGTATTACCAAGTTACCTTGTATAGTAACAGCTGCGGAAAGGGCGTATAAAATACTTTCTTTGGCATGTATAAAATCGGCAAAAATCACACCACCAGCAAATGACATGTTCAGTACAATTGGTAATTTCAGTAAACATTCTCTTAATAATTCAACACCCATGCAATTAATGCTTTTCATTACGTTTTTTATTAGCACGCTTACTGTCACTTGATTACTGCCACTTGATTTACATTACAAAACAGAAACTGTAAACCAGAAGGAACGAGCTTCCTGTTACAACCACAACACCTACTGGAAGTACAAGACTAAGAGTGCTGCACAATCAGAGCAATGTCAGAGAGCAAAAAACGAAAAAAAAAAAAAAAAAAATCCAAACAAGAGAGTTCACTTAGGGCGCGTAACCATTTTGGTTTTGACGGTTCGCTTTTCGGACAGTCCGTCGAAATAGTGGTAACGTCTATCGCCAATGCTCGCAGATGTTTCGCTAGTCACCCTGCGACGTCGCCGTCGCAACATAACCGTACGGAACTTTTTGCGCAAAACGGAGGGAACCCGTCACTTGGACGGTTACGGTCCGTCAGCAACGAACTGATCAAATATGGCGACTTGTGGTTGGCGCGCGAAAAGACGCTGATTTTGCGGGAACTGTCGAAACTGACATTTCATCGCTGCCAAACTGACCGTAGATTGTGTTTCGAATGTTTAATCCGAGCCGCCAAACTAGCTGTACGAATGTCGCCTGATTTCGTAACATTTCTCAGTTTCGCGAGTATTCAAAACTTGAAAAAAAAAATCAACTCGACGGTTCAAATATTCGACTTCTGTTTCGATAAACGGACGGTTCCATATCGGAAACGGACTATCCATTTATCGAGCGTTCGTTTCTAAACGGAACTTCAAGAAAAAACCAAAATGGTTACGCGCCCTTACTGTTAGAATACGCAGGCAGGAAAAATGGACTAGGTAGCATGCATGAGTACAAGTACCTAACCCTTAAGTGTTGTACCCCTTGTAGGCTAACCCACTATAGCCTAGAGAGAACACAAACATACAGTTTGACACACCCCCATAGGCTAAGTGGGAGATAGCAAACACAACAGACGGTCACAAGACCTGTCAAGCAAGAGAACAAGCAAAGCAAAGCAAAGCTCAGGGTGGATCTCAAGGACACCACACAATCTGAGCACAAGCAAGCGGCCACAAGGACAGTTCACATGCAAAGTTATAATAGCAAGGCAGTACACTGATCACAACCTAGCAAGAGTAAACCAGCAGGTATAAAGATATATATCAGAGTACAACAAGAGCAAGTCAAGCAACCAGCAGGTGAGGCAGAGTGGGCACAAGCCCAAGAGCAGTGCAAAAACGCTGAAGATCACCAGACCCGAGGGCCTTGGTGAAGACATCAGCAGTGTTGGCCCGAGAAGCCACGTAAGCAAGGCGCAGCTGACCACGCTGCTGCAGCTCCCGAGCAAGAAAGTAATGAAGAGCAATGTGCTTCGTTCTGTGCTCCAGTCTCTGCTCGCGACACAAGTCAAGCATTGCCTTGTTGTCGACGTACAGAACTGGAGGAGAACGAGGCCGCTCCCCCAAGTCGGTCAGCAGGTAGGTCAGCCAGCGTAGCTCCTGTGCAGCCATGGCCCCAGCGTAGATCTCGGCCTCGCAGCTGGAGCCAAGCACAGAAGAAGAACGAGTGGACCTACACGAGACAGAACCAGAGCCAAGACTGAAGGTGTAACCCTGTGACGAACGCTGGGTCGTCTGGTCGTCGGCCCAAGAAGCGTCAGAGTGTCCTGTGAGTACCACTGAACCCCGTCCTCCAAGCAAGAGCCCCATGCCCGATGTACTGCACAAGTAACGCAGTACCCTCTTCGCAGCATCAAAGTGCACCTTTCGGTGTGTACCGGGTGCCACGTAGCGAGCCAGGAGGCTGAGAGGGTATGCGAGGTCAGGTCGTGTGCACGTCATCAGGTACATGAGGCAACCCACAAGCTCTGGGTACGGACCACTCGGCTCTACGGACTCGTCCGAAGGTGGAGCTGAGAGCGAGTGGCCAGTAGACAGAGGAGTGGGCTGTGGCGAGGACCACAAGAAGCCGAAGCGCTGAAGGACCTGGTGCACCATGTGTGAATGAGTGAGGGTGATGGTGCGCCGTGCTCTGTCCCGGGTGATCTGCAAGCCAAGATAGCTCCGCAGCTCACCCAGGTCAGTGCAAGTGTGTCTCTCCTGCAGCTCCGCCTTCACTAGAGCCAGTGCCTCAGTGTCAGCAGTAGCAAAAACCAAGTCGTCAACGTACACGATGATGTAGAACGGCGGCAGAGTAGTGTCGGTGCGTAGAAACAGCGACGGGTCAGCAGTCGAAGGAGCAAACCCAAGAGCCGCAAGTGTCGTCCTCAGTGTGTCGTGCCACTCGCGGGGTGCCTGACGCAGGCCGTACACTGGTCGCCGTAGGCTCCACTGGGTACCCCCAGGAAACGACCCAGTGAAGCCCTCTGGACGGCGCAACCATATGGCCTCGTGAAGGCTACCCTGTAGGAAAGTTGTCGAGAAGTCGAGGGAGTGCAGCTCGTAGTCGCGCTGTGCTGCAACGTGCAGCAACACCCGAAGAGTGGTCATCTTCGAGGTAGGGGAGAAGGTCTGAAAGAATTCGACCCCCGCACGCTGACTCAAGCCTCGAGCAACGTAACGTGCCTTGTAGGCAGGCAGAGAACCCGGCAGCCGCTTCACTCTGAAAATCCACATGCCACTGACAATGTTCGCCCTAGGTGGGGGAACCTCGTCGACGTAGGTGCATGTGGACTTCCAGGAAGCCATCTCTGCGTCCATGGCTGTCTGCCACTGAGAGGAGTACTCACCCGGAATCGCCTCTCTGTAAGAGCGCGGGGTGGGGATGTCAAGTGCATCCGGGTCTCCCTCAGGGGCAAGCAACATGGTCGCGAGATGGGGTGAAGTGGCCGCAAGGCACTCCAGCTCCTCCTGCCTGACCTCAAGAGCGTCAAAGCCAAGGGCAGTACAGCCAAGGGCAGTCTCACCCCCGACGAACGGAGGACAGGCAGGGACAGGGTCAGAAACAAGGCTCGCAAGGTAGTCTAGGCGGTACACAGCAGCAAAGTCAATGAGCTCAGCGACTAAGGCAGACGCAGCAGGAGACGAGAACGAAGGGTCGGT